CACAACTAGAAAACATACAGATGAATATCCTGTCTGCACTTGTTAAACAAATTAATGTTGTTCTTGCAAATGGAATATTCTCGAACATACAGAGCCTCTTAGAAAATATTTGCAAGGAATTCAAAAGGGAATTAGTGATCCCTCAAAATGCAATGAATTTGGTCACTTTTGTAATCGATTCAGATGTTACCCAGTTTTGTGGTGACATTTGGACTTATAATTCAGAAACCAAAAATCAAATCTTGTCAGAAGTCAAATGTTCAGATATAAACTCCATTCTCTCCAAGGTCACATTAGATCCAGTGGATGAATTGCTAAATTTGGTGATCGGATATGGGATGCTGTGTCCATTCTGTAAAGTCCCCTGTGAGGCCGCAGGAATTGGTCATATAAAGCACTTTGCATCAGTCCATCGATGTGAAGGGTTAGGTGGAGTCGGTATGTTAGTAGACAAAAAGTTATCCCTGACATATGTTCTAAATCTATTCTATCTGAGAATACCTTTGTGAGTCCTCTAGGTGGTGCACGTGTCCCATACAACAAATATTGTATGGTATACCTGGACTGGTCCATCCAACCTGACCCTAGCCTTGACTCCTCTAATTACTGGAAACACATTTTTGTGAAATTTAATGAACAGTTTGCAGAAGAATATAATGCTAAAGCATCTGTACTGCCAGAAGACTGGGAACAAATAGACAAGGCGCAAGCCCTGCGAAGCCTGAAGAAAGTGTTTAATAAGACATACTTTACATAGTGAATTAAACCCTTTCATTGATACGATGGATAGAGAGGACAATATTTAAAAAATATATCATGCAACCTCCGGTGCTTTTCCCTTTAACAAATTCGGCTTCCGGCACCACGTGACTTACATGCCTCGCTCTATCTGGCCTTTCTCAAACTCTAGTGGTGCTTCCAGGAGGATCTGGTTAAATACCCTTCCTCCTATTACTTCATTTAAAACACAATGTACCAATTATTTTGTTACAATGAATTCTGCACTAAATGAAACTGTGTATCTCTTTGAAGTCACTGTGCATCATTCATATATTCTCTAACAACATAAAAATAATGACGTGTATATATACTTCCATATATCCTCATTAGCAGATAAATGCAGACTGTCTATACACAATAAAATACTCTCATATGAAAAAACATTATTACATAGTTTTAAACACAGTTTCGGTCCGAATATGATACAAAAAAATAAGATACAATAATAAATATACTACTCTCATACTTTGAGAAAAAGACAATATAGATAAGGAAAACGTTAGTTATTTTATGATGGTTTTTAAAGGTATACCCTCCTAAGATATAATTTTATAAAAAAATAGATATTCCCAATCCTTAAGGAAGGGTAAAAAGATTATTGATATAGTGCTTGTAAATTTGCTGAAAATGGAAGCTCCCCTGCTTTCTAACAGTAAAGGAAGTTTAAATGGGTCATACCATTTCTACTATCAGGGAGGTAAGAGTTGAGTGACTGGACTCTACCATTTCACTGTCAGTCATACACATACACCTTCCTCACTGACTGCAGCCATACTACTTCCCTATACCCACCTTTACATTTTTCAGGATCCCTACCATTCTACCTTTAACCCTTTCTCCACTGTCCCTTCACCCGTTCTGGAATATTGCCTTCTATCTGGGTCCTCTACCTGTGTACAGCTCCCTGTCTGTCCCTTTCTCCTCACCTGCAGTGTCCAGCCACACATCTATACATGTACAAGAAGCACAAACAAGGTTTTGAGGATTTGTTGTTCAACCAACAACTTTCATAAATAGAAAGGCAATAACTAAGCTGCAGGCATCTGGAACCCTTCATCTATGTAGAACTGAGTCTGCCCTCACAGAAACCTGTCAATCAACTCAGGTACCTACTGTTTAAACCTTGGATTTCTGTGTTAAACATGTCCAACAGTCCAGACTCCTGAGACAAGGATGAGAGACTCCTGGTTGTCCAAGCTACCACCTGCAGAGAAAAGAACGCAAGACTAATGATAGAATGTGTTGTGATTTGTAAACAAAAATAAGGATCTTTAAAAAGTGCAAGCATCTTTTTAAATTTTATTATGAATTGCAACAAATTTAAAAAACAATTCCAATCTGATGTGTAATTTTAAATGGAGACTCTATGCACCAAAACAACTTTACTCACTGAAAGCCCTGGAAAACAGGACATTATGCAGGCCTGTGTTCTAGAGTGTACAGGATCTGATGGCCAAAAGCAAAATCAGTGGGTGACATGAGGAACCCAGTAAGAGTAGCCAAGGTGTGTCTGAGGGTTCTATATTGAGAAATGGGTCGTCGTTT